CTCACCGGCTCAAGGTTAACTCAGCCTTCCATCCTTCTGAGGTGGGTGAAATGAGGACCCAGACTGTGGGGGCGATATGCTGACTCTATAAACCGCTTAGAGAGGGCTGAAAGCCCTATGAAGCGGTATATAAGTCTAACTGCTACTGCTATTGCTATTCCCATGGAGTGAACCAAGTCTATAACAGTGTGCAGCTGTACAGTATATATGTGACTGTATGAAAATGAAAATGGAAAATAAAAACACATTTTATTAAAAAAAAAAAGTTAAAAAAAACAGTGTGCAGCTGTTATAATGTGAAGAAACCAAGATTGAATGGTTGCTTCGATTAACCGGGTTTTATTTCTCGGTCGCTTCTGACTAACAAGTTTCTTTAGTCGGCGCCATAGATTTTCACTTGGATTAACGTCTGGGCTATTCCCAGGCCATTCCAGCAGTGGAATATGATCATCTTGCAACTCCAAAAGAAAGTGGTGTCATTAGCCATCAAAATTCAAAAATTCAATTCTCCCCAAAGGTTTCCCCAATTTTGGCCACTACTGTACAACAGATCCCCAAAAGGATACAGGTAGTTCTCCACTTATGACCACAATTAATGACACTGCAACCATCATAAATGTGAGTCAGTGGTCAAGCATCCTAATGTAAATAACGTGACCAGGGGGAAGCTGCAACGGTCGTAAGTGTGAAAAAGGTTCATAGGTCCCCTTTTTTTCCAGTGCCGCTGTAACATCAAAGTCACTAAGCGAACTAAGTCGAGGACTCTCTGTACTTACAACCTGGATGCGAAGTTTTGACAGACAGACAAACACACACACATACACACACACACACACACACACAAACATTGTTGCAGTGACATGATCACATTTTAGGCACAAAAACCAGCCATATTTCCTGCCTTTTGCAGTATTCCATGGTCACGTGACTTTTCTTTTTTGTTCTCATGGAAATACTGTATTTTTCAGACTATAAGACGCACCTTTTCCCCTCAAAAAAGAGGCTGAAAGTCTGGGTGCGTCTTATACACTGAATAACAGCATTTTTGGCCTCCCAAAACCCCGCTCCCTTCACCAAAATGTTTGTGCATAGCCTTTAGGAGTCTTTCAGAGTGCTCCTGGGGGCTGGGGAGGGCAGAAATGACCGAAAAACGGACTCTTTTCCTCGTTTTTGCTCCCCCCTCCAGCCGCCAAGAGCACTCTATAAGCCTCCTAAAGGCTATGCACGACCTTTTTTTGACAAAAACCTCTGTGAGAAAATTTCAGTGGTCTGCAGAAAAATTATTTGCATTTGTTATATTACACTAAATCAGGGGTTCTCAAACTACGGCCCCTGGGTGGGATATGTGCAATGAACGCTTGTGTTGCTGCAGAGAGTCTCCCCTTCGGGGTCCTTTTGTATGGGTCAGAGAGGGAAGGAAAATCCAACTTGGGGTCTGCTTCAGCCTCCTGGCGTGGGGCTTTAGGCGAAGGCTGGAGGGAAGCACCACTGGTGGAGAAGAGCCAGAAGGCCTCGTTCCAGTGAGGCTGCCTCATGGCCTGGAACTGGNGATATTGACTATGTAATAGTATACATGTGATTATATGCTATGAAAATGGAAAATAAAAAAAATTATGAAAAAAAAAGTTGGAAGTCGGTGCCTTTTTCTTTCTTCTTCCCTCTTTAACTCCATATTTTCTTTTAATTTCTTTTTCTCTCAGTTTCCTACTACTTTTTAAAAATTCTCTTTGTATTTTATACTTCGATAAACCAATAAAAATGCATTACAACCAAAGGCAGCTGGTTTTAATATTGATACTCTTCTAGCTCTTGGCATGATCATAGTCAGATTTTTGCTGAATATTCTCGCATGCCCAGAATTGGGAATACCATCTTGGAATTGTCTTCGAAGTAGCGATGAAGACCTGATCATCCTGTCACTAGCGAACCTGGCTTTTTCTAAGTTTCAATATGATCCAAATGGTCCAGAAGGCCCAAATCTCCCATTAAAAAATCCACTAAAAATTCAATTAAGGCGGAAGCTTTAGGGCAAGACACAGATGCTTTTCGCTTGCCAAATTAATCCCAGGGGCACCACAGGGCAAGGCTAAAGGTGGAAAATTGTAGCTAAAAAGGTATTGCTGGAAAGAGAAGTACACAGGTAGTCCTCAACTTTCGACTGGTTATTTAGCGACCATTCCAAGGTATAGTAGTAGCAAAAATTGTGGAAACCTTTTGGGAAAAGTGTATTTTCTAAAACTAGCTAATAACACCTCTGTTGTTGTTTTTTGAGTAGTACCATAAAATTATATATCAATGGAAAGATAATTTAATCAAGAATGTAATGCAGTAACTTTTATGAAGGATTTGCTATTAGAGTAGCAGTTATAAAAAAGAAAAGTAAAATGAAATATACAAAAAAATAATCACCATAGAAAAAAAGAGATATAGAAAAATTATATCACCATGTCAGTTAATACTTAGTTGGGTAACCTTTAGCATAAATGATGGCCTTACAACTTCTTCCTGAGCCGAGGTGAGCCGAGGTGGCGCAGTGGTTAGGGTGCAGTACTGAAGGCCACTACAGCTGACTGTTATCTG